CATCTATGATGGATCAATGATCCATCTATGATGCATCTATGTTCCATCTATGATGCATCTATGTTCCATCTATGATGCATTCCATCTATGACGCATCTATGTTCCATCTATGAAGCATCTATGATGTATCTATGATGAATCTATGATGCATCTATGATGCATCTATGATCCATCTATGATGCATCTGTGATCCATCTTTGATGCATCTATGATGCATCTATGATTCATCTATGATGCATCTATGATGCATCAATGATCCATCTTTGATGCATCTATGATGCATCTATGATTTATCTATGATGCATCTTTGATTCATCTATGATGCATCAATGATCCATCTTTGATGCATCTATGATGCATCAATGATGCATCTATGATGCGTCTATGATGCATCTATGATTCATCTATGATGCATCGATGATCCATCCTTTGATGCATCTATGATGCATCAATGATCCATCTTTGATGTATCTATGATGCATCTATGATTCATCTATGATGCATCAATGATCCATCTTTGATGCATCTATGATGCATCAATGATCCATCTTTGATGTATCTATGATGCATCAATGATCCATCTTTGATGCATCTATGATGCATCTATGATTCATTCTATGATGCATCAATGATTCATCTATGATGCATCAAAGATGGATCATTGATGCATCATAGATGAATCATAGATGCATCATAGATGCATCAAAGATAGATCATTGATGCATCAAAGATGGATCATTGATGCATCATAGATGCATCAAAGATGGATCATTGATGCATCATAGATGAATCATTGATGCATCATAGATGAATCATAGATGCATCATAGATGCATCAAAGATGGATCATTGATGCATCATAGATGCATCAAAGATGGATCATTGATGCATCATAGATGCATCAAAGATGGATCATTGATGCATCATAGATGAATCATAGATGCATCATAGATGCATCAAAGGATGGATCATTGATGCATCATAGATGCATCAAAGATGGATCATTGATGCATCATAGATGAATCATAGATGCATCATAGATGCATCAAAGATGGATCATTGATGCATCATAGATGCATCAAAGATGGATCATTGATGCATCATAGATGCATCAAAGATGGATCATTGATGCATCATAGATGAATCATAGATGCATCATAGATGCATCAAAGATGGATCATTGATGCATCAAAGATGGATCATTGATGCATCATAGATGCATGAAAGATGGATCATTGATGCATCATAGATGAATCATTGATGCATCATAGATGAATCATAGATGCATCATAGATGCATCAAAGATGGATCATTGATGCATCATAGATGCATCAAAGATGGATCATTGATGCATCATAGATGCATCAAAGATGGATCATTGATGCATCATAGATGAATCATAGATGCATCATAGATGCATCAAAGATGGATCATTGATGCATCATAGATGCATCAAAGATGGATCATTGATGCATCATAGATGAATCATAGATGCATCATAGATGCATCAAAGATGGATCATTGGTGCATCATAGATGCATCAAAGATGGATCATTGATGCATCATAGATGCATTAAAGATGGATCATTGATGCATCATAGATGAATCATTGATGCATCATAGATGAATCATAGATGCATCATAGATGAATCATAGATGCATTATATATGCATCAAAGATGGATCATTGATGCATCATAGATGCATCAAAGATGGATCATTGATGCATCATAGATGCATCAAAGATGTATCACAGATGCATCATAGATGCAACATAGATGCATCATAGATGGATCATAGATGCATCATAGATGCATCATAGATTCATCATAGATACATCATAGATGCTTCATAGATGGAACATAGATGCGTCATAGATGGAATGCATCATAGATGGAACATAGATGCATCATAGATGGAACATAGATGCATCATAGATGGATCATTGATCCATCATAGATGAATCATAGATGCATCAAAGATGGATCATTGATGCATCATAGATGAATCATAGATGCATCATAGATGCATCAAAGGATGGATCATTGATGCATCATAGATGCATCAAAGATGGATCATAGATGCATCAAAGATGGATCATTGATGCATCATAGATGAATCATAGATGCATCATAGATGCATCAAAGATGGATCATTGATGAATCATAGATGCATCAAAGATGGATCATTGATGCATCAATGATCCATCTTTGATGCATCTATGATGCATCTATGATCCATCTTTGATGCATCTATGATGCATCTATGATTCATCTATGATGCATCAATGATCCATCTTTGATGCATCTATGATGCATCAATGATCCATCCTTTGATGCATCTATGATTCATCTATGATGCATCAATGATCCATCTTTGATGCATCAATGATCCATCTTTGATGCATCTATGATCCATCTTTGATGCATCTATGATGCATCTTTGATTCATCTATGATGCATCAATGATCCATCTTTGATGCATCTATGATGCATTCAATGATCCATCTTTGATGCATCTATGATGCATCTATGATGCATCTATGATTCATCTATGATGCATCAATGATTTATCTTTGATGCATCTATGATGCATCAATGATCCATCTTTGATTCATCTATGATGCATCAATGATCCATCTTTGATGCATCTATGATGCATCAATGATCCATCTTTGATGCATCTATGATGCATCTATGATGCATCTATGATTCATCTATGATGCATCAATGATCCATCTTTGATGCATCTATGATGCATCAATGATCCATCCTTTGATGCATCTATGATGCATCTATGATTCATCTATGATGCATCAATGATCCATCTTTGATGCATCTATGATGCATCAATGATCCATCTTTGATGCATCTATAATGCATCTATGATTCATCTATGATGCATCTATGATTCATCTATGATGCATCAATGATCCATCTTTAATGCATCTATGATGCATCAATGATCCATCTTTGATGCATCTATGATGTATCAATGATCCATCTTTGATGCATCTATGATGCATCTATGATTCATCTATGATGCATCAATGATCCATCTTTGATGCATCTATGATGCATCTATGATTCATCTATGATGCATCAATGATCCATCTTTGATGCATCTATGATGCATCTATGATTCATCTATGATGCATCAATGATCCATCTTTGATGCATCAATGATCCATCTTTGATGCATCTATGATGCATCTATGATTCATCTATGATGCATCAATGATCCATCTTTGATGCATCATAGATGAATCATAGATGCATCATAGATGCATCAAAGATGGGTCATTGATGCATCATAGATGAATCATAGATGCATCATAGATGCATCAAAGATGGATCATTGATGCATCATAGATACATCAAAGATGGATCATTGATGCATCTATGATGCATCAATGATCCATCTTTGATTCATCTATGATGCATCAATGATCCATCTTTGATGCATCTATGATGCATCAATGATCCATCTTTGATGCATCTATGATGCATCTATGATGCATCTATGATTCATCTATGATGCATCAATGATCCATCTTTGATGCATCTATGATGCATCAATGATCCATCCTTTGATGCATCTATGATGCATCTATGATTCATCTATGATGCATCAATGATCCATCTTTGATGCATCTATGATGCATCAATGATCCATCTTTGATGCATCTATAATGCATCTATGATTCATCTATGATGCATCTATGATTCATCTATGATGCATCAATGATCCATCTTTAATGCATCTATGATGCATCAATGATCCATCTTTGATGCATCTATGATGCATCAATGATCCATCTTTGATGCATCTATGATGCATCTATGATTCATCTATGATGCATCAATGATCCATCTTTGATGCATCTATGATGCATCAATGATCCATCTTTGATGCATCTATGATGCATCTTTGATTCATCTATGATGCATCAATGATCCATCTTTGATGCATCTATGATGCATCTATGATTCATCTATGATGCATCAAAGATGGATCATTGATGCATCATAGATGAA